TTTTTTTTTTTTCTGTACTGGAGATCGAACTTGGGCCCTTGTACTGGGGAGGCAGGCAGTGGAACCACTGAGCCAAATCCCCAGCTCTCCCTCCTTTCTTAAACAAAGGACACACTGCCTTTTTTCATCTTCTCTTAATAATGGATATACAGACACTTCAAAGGGTAATTATTTTTAAAGTACCTTCTCTTTGTCTGTATGAAGTAGTTTTTTGTCATCTCTGTTTTTGAGCTTCCCTGGTGCTTCGGCAGTTGGCAAGGAGGAATGGAAGATGTACAGCTTCCCTGGACATTCTGCTGCCTGAAATAAAAACAAACAAAATCACAGAAAATGCTTGGGTGGAAAGATTGTAAGGCAATGAGAAACACATTAAAATATATAAGCCAAGCACTAATTTAATCTTCATAAAAACCTTCATGTTCTTGGGCAGGTGCTTTCTCTGCATTTTACTGTTAACAAACTGAGGCTTAGCACTGAGAAGCCTAAAGTTATGCAATTTTAAAATGAAAATTAATATTTAAATACGAATTTATACAATATGATGTTTTAAAAAGTCATCAAAATAAGTGGTAGCGGGAAAGACACTCTGTTTAGTCTGTGGTATAGCCCGGTGGGGCAAATCTATGGCACACGGTGTCCGCAGGCTGTTTACCTCACGGAACGCCGACCCTTCAGGACCAGGCGACTTTCATAATGCAGAAACAGATGACAGAATCCGCAGGCTAACGGTACAACAGAAGTGTTGATTTCAAGCCTTTAGTGAACATGGGTTGAAACTAAATGAGTTTATTTCCAGAAAGAAGCACAGGAATGAGGCAGTGTCCTGCCTGTGGTGGACACCGGGAAACAGCTACCAGGCACAGGGTCAGAAGAAAAAATGTGTGATCAGGAGTGCTCATCTGTGGTCTCTGAGAAGCAGTCAAAAAAGCTTCAGCCTCCAAGAAAATCAATTCAGCGTTAAGAAAATTTAAAATCACAGGAAAGGAACTCAATAGCAACCTATCAAGCAAAATGTATTGAAATTGAATGCAATTTGCTCTACCAGCCCCACCCGCTGCTTGGCTGTCTGACTCATAGTCCGCACTGCTGCCAGTGCATAGCCCCAAAACAATCCCCATATTTCTGCTCAGGTATGCACTTTTCTCTTCCGGAATCCTAAGGGGCTTTGTGGTCCAGGGTAAAGTCCACGGTCCTTATCTGGGCAACAGCAGGCAGAGCAGGAAAGAGCTATTGCATGCAGCTTGGAGCGAGGCCCTTTTTGAGTGTTTCCCTATTTAACTCAATCACCTGGTGCAGTAGGTACTGCTGCTTGCGTAATAAGGAGGCACAACTCATCTGTTTGCCTCAGGTCACATATCTAGCAAGTGACACTGCAAAGCCCTCTGGAGTTCGCTCCGAAATTATCTTTCCAGCCCAACAACCAACCTTTCCTCACCCCTGCCATCTTTCCCACTGTAAGTTCCAGCCACACTCATTTTTTGATTTCCTGGAACACACTGTGTGTGTACACACCTGTCTTTTTGTATACCCTGTTTCCCAGCCTGGAACATCTCTCTCTTCTCTATCTGGGGCTGCTGTGGCACTCATGGCTCTGCTGGGTCGGCTGTATGATGTGATTTTAGCTATAGGCTACTTATAATGCGAGGCTTAGACCTATGTGACTAGCTCCTTTAAAAAACAAATTGAGAGAATTCAGGATTTCCCTGTTATAATGTGTCTCTCATCAGTGACATGCTGATATATTTTGGATCACAGGAATGAGGTCACAGTGGACACGTCAACTGATGTGGCCAATAGTGAGGAAGAATTTGTGAGCTGGAATTTTAACGTTGGATATGTCCCCAGCTGAAAGTTACACAGAGAAACAGCATTAATAAGAAAAAAAGGTTGCTGGACATTGAGGCATGTACGTGCAATTGTAGCTACTCAGGAGGCAGAGGCAGGAGGACTAAAAGGTCAAGGCCAGCCTGGGCAACATAGTGAGTTCTTGTCTCAAAATTTAAAAATGTTTAAAAGGGCTGGGGATGTAGCTCAGTGGTAAAGTCATTGCCTAGAAAGCCAAAGGTCCTAGATTCAATCCCCAGTACCTACTAAAAAACTAAGAAAGAGGAGGAGGAGAAAAAAGAGGAGGAGGAGGAGGAAGTGAGGGTGGAGGAGGTGGAGGAGGAGGAGGAGGAAGAGGAAAGTGAAAATGAAAAATCTAGGTAGGAACTTAAGCATGTCAAACATTTTCAATTCTATGACTATAATTTTAAAATATCATTTTTATTACTATGAAAGCACTGTTTAAATGTTTAAATAGTAGAAAATTTATAAAGTTAACAAGAGCCTAGTTTTTCTTTCTTCACCTAACCAATTCTCCTAAGGAATTCAGTATCAAAAATTCTTCTATAAATCCAGATAGTCTCTTACCATGGAAGTACTGTAACTTGACACTACAGGTTTTAAGAGTGTAGGTCCTACTACCGACCTGCCAGGTTTAGAGTCCTAGTATTTTATCAGTGCAGAGACATCGAGAAATACTTCTATAAGTGAATATGTGACATAGGGGAAATAATAATTGCAGGGAAGACTTGATGATTGTCTTGTTAAATGGTCCAGAGAGGAAACCGACAGAAAAACTCAAGACCCATTCAAAATAAAGTTCAATACTGTCAAAAAACTCCAAAGAAGTTACTTTTTACTTACATCATTGCTGTTAGTTTTAATCTAGAATTTCATTAATCACATACTTACATAATCTTTTATAAGAAGCAAATTTAAACTAGTAAAGGATCTATGGTATTGTATATTTTATATCCTCATAAAATTTCTTTTGACCTATATCCAACTGTTCCCACAGGAGCAAGTCCTAGGACTCAGGGCTGTGGGAAAAAGGAACCCTTCTCCACCATTGGTTGGAATGTAGACTGGTACAACAACTGTGGAAATCAGTGCACAGATTTCTCAAAAAACTAGAGGTTCCATTTGACCCAGCTACTTCTAAAAAGAATTAACAGTATCATCCAACAGTGATATATACACACCCATGTTTATAGCAGCACAGTGTGTAAATCTTCCAAGATAAATCTCAGAAACAACTCAAATACCCATCAACCGATGAATGGATAAAGAAGGTGCATATGCGTGTGCGTGTGTGTGTGTGTGTGTGTGTGTGTGTGTGTGAGTGTGTGTGTTTAATACAATGGAGTACTACTTTGCCAAAGAGGATAAGCTTCAGGCATTTCTAACTAAATGGATGCACCCTGAAACCATATTCTGAAATGAAATAAATCAGACACACATGTTTAAATATCACATGATTTCTTTGTGTGAGAAACTGGAAGTGCAAATAAGGACTAAAATGTAAAATAGATATTGAGAAATGGAAAGAAAATATCCAAATCAGACGAGGAACAAGTGAAAGAGGAGTGGGAAAGAAACGAGGGATAAGAAAAAAAAGAATACAAGAAAAAATGGAAAGAGCTTTTGCAAATAAAGGAGAGGAGTTGAAGGAAGGGGAGGGAAAAAAAGAAGCAAGATATATCATGTACAGGTACAAATTCCTTATGTTGGATGTTATCATTATATATGTCTAAAATGTACCAATAAAATAAAAAGAAGAAAATGTATTAGATGAATGACGTAAAATCAATCTTATGGCAGAAAACAGGATGAGAGAGACTGTCCTTAAGAACACAAGGATTGAAACTCAGCTCCAATAGCCTTTCCTCTGAGGGAAATGCCACTGACACCCTTGGCCTGGCCTGGTGCCTCCTGTGAGTTCCACTCTGGTTTCAACACAAGACTCTCCCAGAATTAATGATACTCTTTCACAACTTCAGTATTTCACTATCTTCACCTGCAGGTCAAGGGCTCCCAAAAGAGGAAGAGACACTAGTTTTGTGTCTCTCCAACCCCACCAGCTCTACACCTCTCACTCTCCACGTGCTACACACATGGTGATGTCTCACTCTGAAACGGAATTTGGGTACAGATTATGGAGAATTTATAGATTAAGTTCTCCCCAGGTAATGACATAATTTAAACATAACCATTACAGGCCAATTGCCTCCAACTTTTTACCCAATTCTTACTCTTATTTATCTAGTTTTATTGTGGAAGTCATAGCTAACACAAAAAATTATTCTTTGACCAAACTCAAAGACAATATCAGTAGTTTACATACAGTTTGAGTTACAAGGGTCAGATTCTGGAAGAACTGCAGATTTGGAAAGGTTATGTTAAAAAAAAAAAAAAGAGGCTAAGATTACAAGATGCTATGGACCTGGAAACATTCACAGCTCAGAAGACTCTATCTTTTAGCTGGATACTTCAAGGTCTTGTGCAAAAGTATACAGAACAACATTCCAGTGGGTCCCTGTTTATCTCTGTGACAAATTAACACATGTTTTTTGTTAGTTTATGTCTACTCTGTTTGCTTTAAGAAGCTTATAACTGATGTTTATATAGAGATTTTATTAGCATCTATCTGACTGAAAGAAAAGCTGTAACTCCAACAGGGGAGTCCCGTTTTGAGATATACCTTCACCTAGATACACAATGAGAACACTTTCACTTTGTTGTTTTTTCAGTTTCTACTCCCTGTCCACAGAAGATGAGACACCCATTTCCAGTCTCCCATGCAGAATATCCTGAGCTGATGGACCGACCAGCCACAGTCTCATGTTTTCCAAAGTTACTCTCTGCCTTCCCCCATTCCACTTTTTATGAATTTGTGTGTCATCCTTGCACAGGGACCATGCTAATCTCTGTATTATTTCAATTTTAGCATATGTGCTGCCAAAGTGAGAACCCCCAGTTCCTCTTTTAAATGCAGACAACAAAATTATGTCTTGTATTACCGAGTAACCTCTCATCTGCCACACTAGGTGGAATTTAGGAGCAAGACAGTAGTCCCTAAACTTCCTTACAAAAACACAGACATTTAATACATTCCTATTGGTTGAAAGGACAAGTGAATCAATAACAGGACCTTTTTAATATTTTGACACTACCTTGCAAATTCTGAAACATGCTAGCTCATAGCCTAATAATGACTTCAGGCAGGAATATTAGTGCCTTCCTATAACAGTGACACAAATTTAAGTCTGATTTTCAGCTACAGAACTTGAAGATATAATGAAATAATATGACTCTGCCAGAGGTAACTAAACATATACACACGTGTGCATGAGAGAATTGTTATAAGGGAAAAAGCATAAACTGTGGGCAAGTGTCAATTGCCTTGCAGCAGTTTCTGCTCTTCTGCAATGAGTCAAAATCACTCAGAACTTTCCTGATAAGATGTTGGAGACATTTTTTCTTTATTATTCATATTAATAATCCTTTACAAAAGGATTTAGAGGAAACATGATTAGAAGAACATAGAATTACTAAGGCAAAAGTAAAACAAAACAAAAAAAAACAAAAAAAAACCCCCAAAAACTAGAAGTCAGTAAGAAGGTCAAGGAAGAGAAATCCTTATAAATTTGCCTTAAATTTTTCTTGGTAGTTAAGGTTAAAAGAAGCATTATGAGCTAGAATGGTTATAATAAGTGACTAAGAAATCAGTGAATCTTTCTACTCATTAAGAAGTTGAATAACACATGAAAGTCCTGAAAAAACATTCTGTAAAAGAAAGACAACTTTCCTCATGAAGATATTTGTTATTTTAACCATAATTAGAAACAGAGGGCGAGAAGGTAAATTATGATAGTCAAATAATTCCTAGAGCAAAAGTAGCACATGGAATATACTTCTCCCACACTAAGGGAACTCTCAGAGATTTCAGAACAAAGTGATTCTTCATGCTGGTAGTTCCCAGGGATAGATAAACATCAAAATGATTGAGGCAGTAATGATCAGAACTTCTGGGAGCTGACCAGAAATCTGCATTTTTACAAAGCAGTTCTACTTCACCATGTGATTCTATGACTAGTAAGTTAAGAAAAGACATCACTGAGCCTCCGTATGAAGACAGGTATAGGGAAAACAGCATCATCTTGCTAGCAGTGATGTAACAGTAACTCCCATTGACATGGTGTCCAAAGCGTCGTTTTATAACATTCTACTTTGCAAGAAGAGCGTTACTGATCAGCTTTGTATTTATGAAGTTTTCAGCATTGCTATATTTAGACAATGGTTTCTTCTTATATTCAAACTTCAAGGTAAAAATCTACATTATATAACAAACTATAAATGTAACCAAAAATAAAACGCAGAAGAGATGCAGATACACCGACTGCAACGAACTTGACTCTGGTAAACTGACTCAGAGCTGGGAGTACTGACTGCCACAGCCATTGTATAACACAAGAGACCTCGGAGAACACTGTGGTTATGAAGAACACTGGTTTTTCAGTAATGTATCATAATTCAGATCAAATTTTAGATACAGGGAATACATGTACACACATTTGATGTACATATTTTTTCTTTCAAAGCTTCCAAGCAGTCTCAAGACCTCTCCTGGACTGCTCCTGTGGAAACCATTGTTACAGGACACTACTTACCATTTCCCTTTCAAAAATGAGTAAGGGTTGAGCTGGGATTCTGTATTTGGCCCACTCCAGTCTAGCCCCATATCCTTCTGTCCACTTCCCTCTCTTAACTGAGGGGATCGATAGCATATGCACATGCTCTCATCCTTCCTTTCAGACAGGAGGACACAAATATAGTATTATTTCCAGGCCTAACTTAGAGTAGAGAGACTTGTGGACTCAGGTATGACTAGCTTATGGGGAAATTTAGATATGAATTTCTAGGTACATAACGGAGGAGAATAACAACAACAAAACATTAACACATTGAAAGTGAAATATAAGATTTGATTTTAGCAATGTGGGATAAAACAGAAATCCCCAAAGTTTTCTGTATTCCAAAAAATTTTCACTGTTGGATTCTTGTGAGTTCTAAGATCTTCAAGTCACTTTTAGATGTAAAAGTTATCATTAATTTAATGTTAAACTGACAGCCACTCTGAGACTTTTTAAGGGACATCCAAAACAGTGCATGATTCACTCACTACTCTACAGATTAAAAAAAAAAAAAAAAAGCTAGGCAAGAATCAATGTATCCTAGAACCAAACTATAAAATGAGATACACAAAAGTTATGTGTGAAACAGTCCATAAGCTCAGTCCTACATTATTGTTGTTACTCTCTGTTATCACTTTTACTGCTGTTATTAGTATTCATTTCATTTTGTTTTTTATCTTTTATTGGTACTGGGGATCGAACTCAGGACGTTGTGCTTGCAAGGCGGGCATGGCACCACTGAGCTAAATCCCCGGCCAGTAGCCATTTTATTTTAAAAGTTAATTTGAAGTAAACTTCAATCATAAAATTTAAAAACTAATTTTAAGAATTAGCTGTCGGAGAGAAAGAAGCGGCTGACTGTCATGCTCAGGTAATAATAGTCTAAATCATTTTGCCTTCATCAGCTTACTGTTTTTATTACTCTGAAGATGACTAAAGCCATGTGGGCTCAGCTTCCCAAAAGGACACGTGGCCAGCCAACCTTTCATCCACTCTGGCAACCACCAATGCCCTCGGCATCATTTCCATCTCTGTCACTGTCTGTCCGAGGCCTTGCCCTTGCGTGTTTAAAAACCCCAAGGAAGAGGAGGACAATGTGGGAATTACGTTTCTCTTATCTTAGAGTTTAGATCCTGTTGAACAAATTTTAAAATAGATTATATAAAGTTCATATAAAAGCCAAAGGGAGGAGCTGAGCTGGAAATCTGCACAAAATCAGTTGCTCAGATGCAAATAGTGCTGGAAAGTAAACACTAGGAGCAATCTCTGGTTAGGACCATGTCCTCCTCAGAGTCCTGGGGAAGTTTGGAATGGCTTTGAGCAACCACAGGCCCAAGTGGAGACTACATTCTTTCATAAATAAAGCCCATCTACCTACTTATCTTTTCATCCCCCCTCCCTCCCTTCCCTCCTTCCTTCCTTCCTTTTTTCCTTCTTGCTTTTTTATCTTTCTGTTTTATCTACTAGCACATACAAGTGACTTTTTCTCACCTTTAATGCTTCCATGCCAGCCTGGATGACAGGAGCAAAGACAGTTTCATTTTCATTTGAGTCTGCAAACATCTCTGGAATCTGGTCCAATAAACTATAAAAAACAAATGAGCAAAAGTTTTAAATCTTTAGTATATTTGTCATAAACTTCAAAAAATAAATCACTGACATTTCAAGCTTGAACACATGTGGTACTTATTTTGGTCCAACACCTGTGGGTACACTTCACAGGCATATCTTAGCATAGCTTAGCACTAAAATCTAGAATTTAGATTTAACGTTTATGAAATCACACTTTGTAGGTATTTTTCTGTTCACTATCACTGATCTCTTTTAAATCATAACTTCTTAATATAGTAGTTATATCTCATACAGAAGCTGGATCTTTATTAGTATCATCATTGAATATGTTCATTCACATGCAGGAAATAACTCCCTGGAGTCATCTTTTCTGCAAAGAAAAAGAATTCATAGGGCTGGGAGCAAGTAAAAAAAGTTCTGCCTCTTAGTTACTAGTTTATATTAAAAAGAGATAGAGCTCATATAAATGATAGAGTTTTACAGTCTATGTCTTAGAACCCTCTTGTTAATGACAAAACTATGTAGTTGAATTAAGAAACAATGCAATTAAAAACAGACAACCGATTTGTATGTTAATTATAAAGCATATCATATTTACTTGTGAATCACAGAGTGGGATTCTTGATAGTTGACAAGGAACCCATCCAGCAACGGAACAAAGACTTCCCCTACATCAGTCACCACCATCATCTGAGGCTGGGCCAGATTACTCTTCACATTGAAGAAATGGAGAACTTTGTTGTATGTGATAAAACCAACTCGGATTGCAGATGTCTCTTCTTGCTCCTCCCTATGAGAAAAACAATGTGTTTGGGGTTCGTTTATAAATTTAGACTGAGAGGACAATTCCTGTCTGAAATTGATTAAGTGTGTCTTCTGTAAAGTATAAAAGCCATGTTTAAAGTACTGGCCTTAATTTCTGTTACCAGAACTAAACAATTCTGAGTCACAGCAGTGGGGGATGAGGAGTAACTATAAAAATAAGCAAGCTGATAAAGAAAGAAAAAAGTTCTAAAAAATTCTAGGTAAAAAAATCAAATAGATATTATAAAAACATTTTCTCATATTTCTTTAATATATTTATTTTCAATCCACAGTGTGTTACAAGTTTTTTCTTTTATTTCCATAAACAAGCTACATTATTACATTCTTTATATAAACAAAGCACCCTTAGAAGTTACCAGAAGGTCAAAGAGCAAATGGAATATCTGAAGTAAGAAAAGACAAAGAGAGAGGCGCATTCATATTACTACCAGGACAGCTTTTTTTACTTTATATCAAAAGAGGATCCCTTACTTATACATCTTAGAAGATCTTAATAGATGGGCTAATCAAAGAAACAGAAGAAGGAAGGAAGAAGAGAGGAAGAAGAATCAAAGAAAGAAGAAGAAGAGGAGGAAGATGAAGAAAAGGAGGAAAAAGAGGTGGGGAATAGAAGGAGGAAGAGGAAGGGAGAGGAGAAAAGAGGAAGAGGAGGGACAGGAAGAGGAAGAAGAAAAAGAGGAGGAGAAAGAGGAGGATGAGAATGAGAGAGGCCAGGTTTTGAGAACTACATAATATTATATAATATAAAGAAAATTACATTTACAAATTGACAATACAGTTCTTATTAGGGGACCATTTGTGATGGTCATGACAAAGCAATAGAAGTTCTAAAACTGTAACAGAGTGCATTTGTTAAGAATTCTAAAACAAGGCCTCAATGTTCCGAAAAATATAGCACCATTAATGTTCTCATGCCAGTCTACAGTAAACATATTCAGAATGGTCTAGACTCTACTCACATGTTACTGAGTGCATTATTGATTTTCTCACCCCACCCCTCTCTCTCCCTCACTAAAACAAAACACTGAGATTCTACAAGTGCTGTAATTTTTAATAGTGGATGCTACATAGTGCTCAGTGGTTTAAAGAAAGCTCCAAAAGATGTGTGACCCTTTCTTTGACCTTTAATTGTCCATAAAAGTTATGCTGTTTAGGGGACAACTTTTCTGAAGAACTTGATATACTCCTAAATTTTCTACACTCCATAGACAGCTGCTTGAGAAGAATTTGGGAAAACAGAAGATCTAGATGAAAGTATCTTAAATTCCAAGATCTGATTCCATTGTAAGCTTTTCAGTTTCTTTGGTATTGTAGCAGTGTACAGGCTGGTAATTATAATTTTAACTCTACATTATTTCTTCTCTACTCTGCTAAATGAAGGGTAATCTTCATTGTAACCTTGATAAATGGGTGACTGAATAGTTAAAATAGATTCTTAAAATCTTTTCCAAAAGCATCGGTGAATATTTACATTTTCGATACTTGGAATGCTTTCAGAAGTGAGAATCCTTATCTTTGTGAAATATATACATAGACATTCATATGACCCCCAATATTTTCAACTGTGTGATTTCATACAACTAACTACTCTTCTGTACGACATGATATGACAGGATATGATACCATATCATGCCATACTGTACCCATACCTGCTACTATTGCACACTACACTGTACTTGGGTTTTCTCTTCTTCTCCCTATGCTTAGAATCTTACTCTTTAAGACAAAGCACAAACCTTCCCCTAAGCTATCAACCAGAAATCATTTCTTCTTCTAAATTCCTATAAAGTTTATAGGAATAAATTTATAGTATAAACCATTCTCTCTTGTTTCTTAGCATGTGACAACTTCATCTAATGGTCCATGAGTCCCTTGCCAGATGTCTCTTCTTGCTCCTTTCAAAAGCTAATAAAGAGCAGGAGCCAAAGCTTGTGTTCTCTGTCCCCAAAGGACCTTGTGTGAGTACCACATTGCAGCAAAATGGAACTCTGAATGGGCAAACTACACAGATACTGGCCCTGGGAGGTCTGCTCTAGTTTCTTTCCACACAGAGGGAGGGAACTGAAGGAGCAGGAGGGATGAAGCAAGACTGTTCTACTCTCTCATTGTATTCCTTTCCCCTCTGTTCCTATAAATGGACCTTGCACACCTGGACACAGGCCACAGTGATATATGGTAATATGAGGCCCCTCCATGCCTCAGAGCTAGTTTTGAACAAAGGCTTTTTCTTTCCACCAAAGTAAATGCCCTTCTGAGTGGCCAATAACACCAGTACAATGTGGAGAATTAGAGATTTTCTTCAGGATGATGATGATCCTCAATATCCTCAGTGAAGCACTGAATTTGGGATAGCAAGCTGGAACCCAAACTGGTAAGCCGAGGCTGCAACTCCCCATAACTCTAGTTTAGTGCTGCCACTTGAGGCTGGGAATGGTGGCACACGTATACCTGTAACCTCAGTCCTCAGAAGGCTGAGGCAGAAGGATCACTCCCAGTTCTAGGTCAGTCTGGGCTACATGGTGAGTTCAAGGTTAGCCAGAGATTCATAGAAAGATACTGTGCAAGGATCCTGGTTCCAATCTCCAGTACAACACACACACACACACACACACACACACACACACAATTCCAGAAAATCTCCAAAGACTTTTACTCTCTTTTAACAGCAAATTTGGACTATTTGGAGTCAATTAGAACGAAGAACACAAAAGAAAAGGTATGAAGAAGAATCTGGATTGCACTTTCTCATTGAATTTGTACATATTCAAGTGATGGGAAAGGATACCCTGGGATTCATAGGGTTTATTTGAAATCTAAATTTAAAACATCTAATCAGAACATCTCACATTATTACAAAATATTATTACTTGTCTCCATGGGAGCATGTTTTTCAAAAATTGTTTGAGAAATGAAATATTGTCCTAATTTGTTCAATACTACAACTACCTCATTAAGTTACATCAACAAGAAGAAAATGAGTTCTTAGCCTCTCCTTCATATTAATTTTTACACAGGTTTTGTGAAGTTATATCAGGGAATATCATGAAGTCTAGCATGTTTTTGCTCTGCTGCTTTTCAATGATGCTTTTCTCAACATTTGCCCCTATCATTTGAATAGAATGAAGCTGACAAAACAGCACTGAAGACTTTGGCAAGTAGGTGAACCAGAAAACTTCAGGGTCACGCATTTCAAACACTCTAGTTACAGCAGCATTAAAAACAAACAGAAAACATAAAATAACCCAAAGACTTGTTCTGAATAACAGGTGAGCCATTTCAAAGCTTTTCCTTATTGTTCCAGATTAGTCAGAAAACTCTGGCAAGTTAGCCAGCCAAAGATATAAATTTAAATGTAAATAGTAAAGAATGGATCCTTTTCTTTTCAAAAGATTAGCTAAGAGATGAACACACCCTAAGACATTAATCAAGGCTTCAAGCTGTGCTTTAAAAAGGCTATTTGGCATGTTACCTGCTTTAGTACAAAGAAATAAATCAAACTGATGGAGAAATCTTACCACTAAAAACGGTACATATATATACAGCCCAAAATAAGTTTCTGAGGAGAATAAACAACCAATTTATTTTAAAAGAAGGAAAGGTAGTTGGCCTGAAAAAACACTTTTAAGAGAGAGATTTGAGTAAGGTCAGAGAATAACCTGCAGTACTTTTTACTTTTCTTTCCGGATCTTTTCCCAAGTCACACATTTGTTCCAAGGAGACACAGTCATGGTGACAGCAAAGGAAAGATTGTGATTTCGATCTTACATATCAAAAGGTTATAAGTTTTACATGACCACTGCATTGAAAAGCAACCAGAGTAACTGTCCTACAGATTTAAGTTAGGCTAATTCAAATCAGTCTGAGAGAATGGGAAGAGGGAGAGCCCATTTTCAGAAAATGGAAGTTTTTGCTTCCTATGAAATAGCTCAAACTTCAGATTTAGAATTACAACAGCCCTGCTGTAATTATCAGCATAAGAAAGTACATCTTCTCGAGTCTCCTAAGAATGGGTGAGACAACCCCAGCCACAAGTGTCCAGCCATCAGAGGCCTTTCTCAAAACCACTGTAGTCAACTTTCTCATTCTTCACTTCAGAGTTCAGTTTGAAATCACCTCAGTGTGTTTAAACATCCCAATGCTTTTCCAAACCACCCTAGAGAATATTATGACTTCAGCTTCACAGATACAAACAAAACTACTCCTGGGAGGTCCAGAGGTCATTTATGTGAGCCTCGCGTAGACCACATCACAGTCTGAGGTGGAAAGGTGACGGAGGAGTGGGCGTCTAAACTGCTGGAGCGCTGACGATTTAGTACAATCCCTAGGCCCCAAACGCCCTTTTCAGAACACATATTGCTATGCACATCCAGTGAGAGAGGCAGGAGGGGAAGGTGTGCACAGAGGCAGACTCCGGCCTCAGACAACACTTCCAGTCTTATTTTCTTGGGCCAGGCTTCCCCACAGAAAGGATGGGTTCCATGTGCTCTCCAATCAGTTTATAAGATGCAAGCTCCTGCCCTGAACAGCTACTTTGTACAATAAAAGAATTTCAAAAGAGCCATATTTTATCTCAGAAAAGGAGATGGGTGAGAAAAATAAAAGGATTTAGGTAGTTATTCCCTGCCTCTTTTAAAATCTCTCTTAAAAGTTTTTATTCAAGTCAAAATACCTTTATTCCCGTTTACCTTTCAAAAACAAATCTGGTTATTTTTTTCTCCCAAGGTTTATTTGGGGCTGTCTATGTGTGTGTGGTTTTATATTTTTTATGGTAAGACTACAATTAGCTTGAGTTACTTTTTTATGCTAATGCAGGTAACATTTCAAACAGCCTTCTGAAAGTGCAGTAGGCGGTTATGATTAACGTCTCTTAACTATCAGAATTAGTTTTCTCCTTTCCTTACATGCACTGTCCCCTTGCAAAAGGTGCTGTTAACAGTCAGACACAGAGTTAGCAAAGCTGCAAAATGTACTAGACAGTGTGTCAAAGTCAAAAGGAAATCTGACTAAAATGCTATCATCTTGACCAAATGTCAGATGACAGTTCAATTTTTTTTGGCATCCTTAGAATTCTCTGCCATGCCCAGCAGCTACCAGAGTTTACTAGAAAACCAGTATTTTCAAAAATGAACAGACTTCCAGTCTTTACCAAACACGGTTGGGATTCTCTTTATAACTTATAATGCATTTTGAACACTTTTTACCCTGGCAGTATTTTTTATCAGCTTGTTTCTATTGCTTTATTTAAAAGACCACTCTGATGTTTTAAAGACTCATAAAAAATGGCACTGCTTGATGTATAACTAATTGCCCAATGTCCTCATTAGCAAGATCTCAACTTGTTTTCTGGCCTTTATTCATTCAGCAACATTGCACGAGTTATAAAAGGAGTAGTTGCTCCCTTACTTTGGAAGTTTTTCCAGCACAGTTTTCAGTTCTTCACACATGAGCTTGACAAGTCCATTCTTTATGTTACTATATGAAACGTCAATCATGAAGATAAAGGCTGGTGGGTTGGGAGGCTTATTTTTCTGTAGGAAAGCAAACACATCACATACATAGCTTTAATTATACAGTCAATACATTTCATAATCAAATTAAAATATACTAGCAACTCTTGAAGTTATCAGATGTTTCATTTAATATTTGAGATATAACATCTGTAGAATCAAATTACTTTCTAGAACACAGACTCTGATGTTATAAAAAAGATAAAGGAAGCCATTTACTTTCCAGGATATGACTTGAATCAGACAGTATTAAAATATCTAGCAGAGAAGGCTCACTTTTGCAAAGTTTCAAAGACTTTATTACTACAAATTGCTGAAGTTCAGTATTGTAGCCAGCCTTGCTAATAATGCTATTCTATAAGACAAAATGTGCTTGAAACGCTGAAAATCTGGACTAACATAGAGTACATGTAACAATTAGCATTTCTTTTTAAAACTGCCATAAAATCTAACTAATGTGGATCTCACTATATTCAAATCTCATCTTTTATCATCTTCAGTTTTAAATCTGAATTGCCATGCTAATTAACTGCATACTTTAATTTGGATTAATTTATTTCATATTTATGGTAAGACTGGCCTCTTCCATGTGTGTTTAAAACAACTACTGTAACATAAAGCAGCTGCTATGAAAATAGTTTCTAGCAACTCATGTCTCTTTGCTGGCTGGTGTTCAAACAGCTCTTAGGAAGTGGTCCTTCAGTTGGGACTTTCAAAATATTTAGGAAAGAGAGGTATAAGCAAACAGCTTTAGTGACCTATACTAGAGAATAGTTAAGGCCAAATGAACTTTTAACTTTATGATAAATCATAAAATTACATGTTAATTATAAAACTAGATGATATCTGTAAATTCTCTTACTGATTCATTGCACATGAAGCAAAGCATAACACTGTTCTAACAAAAGTCATTTTCCTTTTTCCTTTCTTCTTCTTCTTTTTTTTTTTTTTTGGTATCAGGGATCAAACTCAGGACCTTGCACTTGCAAGGCAGACAGTGGAACCACTGCGCTAAATCCCTGGTCCATCCTTTGTCTTTTTGTGAGGCAGGGCTTCACTATATAGTCTAGGCTGGCCTTGAACTTAATTTAGAGCTTAGACTGGCCCCAAACTTGCAGTGATTCTCCTGCCTCAGCTTCCCGAGTCTTGGGATTATAGGCATGCACCACCATTACTGGTCCCAAAGTCCTTCAATTTAGATTTTAAAATGTTATAACACTTAAGAATCGTCAATTTGAAAACTTCATCACTTTGCCATATCCAAAATCAGACTGACAAAGAACTTAAGGAACTCTACTGGTTCTAGGCACTTTTATTGCAAATAATTCCTGATTCCCATCATATTTCATAAAATAGATTATGCCAACTGAGAGAAAAAGAACCATTCTCATTAACTAAACCAAAACCTCTTTGTGCGAAACCCCAATGTGTCCTACCTTGCATTCTCTCCTAAGTTCAGCATAATCAACTCCTCACTGAATATTTTCTTTACCTACAGCTTGCACATGTCTATAGAAACACTTCACTGTAACTTGTTTTCTTTCTTTCTTTTTCTTTTTTTTTTTTTTTTTTTTGTTCTGGAGATCGAACTCAGGACCTTGATCTTGCAAGGCAGGTGGCAAAACCACTGAGCTAAATCCCAGACCCAATGTAACTTGTTTTCTACATAGGCAAAATTAATTTATCATTCCTGTAAACCACATTCTCTTCCAATTTCTCTATCAATATCAATGACATTAATATATCACAATTCAAACGTGAAATTGGATACAACTTGTCCTCTTGCTTTAAACACTGATTCCCATTGATTTTTCTCTGAAATTGATTTTTCCAATGTTTCAGCTCATCCCTACTCTTAAACATTTGGAAGTTCATCATCTTGTGCCTCTATAGCTAAAGTCTTCCCAATTAGCTTTCCTACACTAGTATTCTATCCATTTAATCCAGCTTGTTTTGCCAGCCAAGGTGAATATGTAAGCCCTCCCTCATTTCTCTCAACACATGCTCCATGATGGAAAGCACATTCCATTTTAACCAGCACTCTGAGTTGACTTGTCAAACTCTCTCATCATGGCTTCTTTCTGAGCTACAAACCAGCATTTCAGTCAACTATAGCATAACTCCACAGAAAGATCCAACCAGTAGCTCAGATTCAAACTTTTAGAAGTTACAACCCATTGTACCAGTGAGGAACTTATGGAAAATATGATCTCAAAATAATCTGGTCTTGAAATTTCACTTCTTCCATGGAACTATCCATCTCACTTACCATCTGCATCCAGCTAATTATGTAGGCTTTGTGGACTGTCTACTTCCAGTAGCCAAGTCTAGACCCTTATTTTCTCTCTTTTTTATTATTTTTAGTTGTATTTGTTTAAACTGTGTTAAAATATAAAACAAAACAAAAGAAAAGGGCTAGGGATTTAGCTCAGTGGTTCAGTGGCCTGCCTCTCAAGTGCAAGGACCCGAGTTCAATCCCCGGTACCACACACAAAAAAAAAACAAAAAGCAAAACTGTGTTAAAATAAGCTCATAAAATTAACACATAGTTATTATTAAGTGTACAGCTTGGTGATGTGCACATTCACAGGGTTATGCCACCATCATCATCTCCAACAACTTTCTATCCCACCCCTTCTCTAGCCTTCTCATCTAAAAATCTGATTTGCTGTTCTTGTAAATCAAGACTACTCCAAATACTTCATATAAGTAGACTCATTTAATATTTATGTCTTTTGTGGCCAGCTTAATTTGCTTAAGATAATATCTTCAACATTCATCTATTTTGTGTCATTGTCACTTTTTTCCTTTTTAAAACTGAATAATATTCCCCTCTATGTTTATACCTCATTTTATTTATTCATTTATCTCACAGACACTTGTTTGCTTCCACCTTTGAGCTTATGTGAATAATGCCGCTATGAGTGTGGATATGTAAATAGCTTTTTGAGACTCTGCTTTCAATTACTTTAGGTATATAACCCAAAGTGGAATTTCTGAATCACATGGTAGTTTTGTTTGTAGTTTCTGGACTTAGCGTCACTCTAGTCTCGTTTTCTCCCACTTGGACCACCATGTTAACCTTGAAAAGGCCCTTATCTCCAATCTCTCCTCTTCTCATTATGAACTGTTGTCAGGATAAACAGTGTATCACAATGCTACCTGCCCTGAAACAGGAACTCTCTTGAGTTCCCAGACCCTAGCACAGAGCATGACACTAAAGAGAGTACTTTCTAACCGCTGAAGGAATGCTTGTGCAGATGCATGGATGGACAGATGGATGGATAAATTAATGGGAATTAATAGCTCCCTCCCTCCCTTTTAATTGTCTTCATGGTCTATTGAATTAGCATAAGTCTTTCTATATCCTGTCATTTAAGATGCTTGACAACACTCACTTAACATATATGGAAACCTAAGAGATCAAAGATATGATGCTAGACCCAGAGGAAAATAAGATAGGCTATGTCTCAAAACAATTTCCTGAATTTACTGCTCACGATTTCTCAATAAACATTCTCCCAATTTAAGTGCTTGCCATTTTCAAAAAATATCTTATGAAGAAGCCACAGCCTAGTAGGCTTGAACCAAGAATTTGTTAGGCATGATGTTTTTTAAAAAACACTTGCATTGAATATGTTTTGGGAGAAGGGGGAATATACTCTCTAATCTCCTGGTACCCACACTGAGTCCATGCTACTCATCTACAAAGCCTGCCCAGCTCTGCAGAACTGGAGTACATGGTCAGGCCTTCATCAAACTGCTTCTGCTCACCCTCAGCAGAAGTCTCTGCTTCCATTTTCATGATAGTTCTCTATTCATGGCTTAACCAACTAGCGTCACTTTCTCCTCAAAGCTTTTCTTACAGCATTCTGGTTTCTATTCAACTTTACAACTTGTACCATATTTGAGCTTATATCATTATCATACGTTTCTTATAAGGCCTATATATGGTAAGTATCATTGGAGCATATTCATCATCTTGTTAACTCTGCTGTCCTTCACACACACAGACAAGTACCTTAAACATGTTAGGCAGCCACTAAATGTCAAAGTGAATTAAAATTAAAATTCATTCAGAAAACAAAAATATAGCATGCAATGAGATTTTATATTTCAGCTACACATTATATGCAGACGTGCATATCTTAAAATCAATAAACTCTTAGTTATGTGATGAGCTGAGGTCACATTCTTCCAGGGGAACTCCTCAGTGATTTTGTAAAAAGCTTACATACCCACAGTGCACTGATAGAAAACAGGGGTCTGTGGCCACACAGATATGGTTTCAGCCTGGCTCCTTCACTTTCTATATGTATGGTCCAAGGCTGGTTCTCAAGCTCCCTATGATTCTTTCCCTCATTTATGGTGGTATTCACTGCATGAGGTTCACTGTGAGAACTAGATGATACAACACCAGAAAGCGTGCAGCACAGACTCACACACAGTAAGTGTTCAATGGATGTTAATGTGAGTATCTGAAGATGACATAAGGGCAGCTAAAATAAACTGAAGCCAATGGGATTTTCCTTAATTCTTTTGGTGTGTAAGGTGTTAAAATATGCAAGGAAATTAAATAAATTCTTTTTCATCATCCAAATACCCCAAATCAACTCAGTATTCTACTTCATTTACATTTGATATTATAATTAAATTAAAAAATGTTTACAGCAAATTTATTATGAAGTATATTTGGAAAAATAAAAGATTAAGCTTACAAAAAATCCTCTTCAAAATATACAATTTTTATTTGGCTCCTTGCTTTCTGGGTGAGATTTCCCATCAATTAGACTTCTGGAAAATTTCCAGATAACAGAGTTTAAAAATTCTAAGGCTTTTGTTCTCAGAAATAGATTTGACTTTCTGCCTAAATTTCTACTAAAAATGCATAAAATCAAGATAATGTAGCCCTTTTGGCAGAGAACTGGAAACTTAGAACTTGATTAGATTTATATTATGTTTGCAAAGACAAGTGAATAAATTTTCTATCACTAGTTACAATGACTTTATTGCATTTAATTAGACCATCGAATGTTTATGTTTTTTCCTGCTGATATTCCTTGAGTCAATGTCAGGAAGGAATTAACAAACTCTCCAAATGTAACTGTACTTCAGGACATGCTTTTTGCTTGAAATAAAGAAAAGCATTTGTACTCAAAATGATTTTATATATCCACAAATATGTTCAAACATTTTAAACCAATAAACTACTTTCTTTAGTAACTAGCTATACATAATGTATTGCAAAACAATCCTATGAAACATTAAAATATTAATTAAAAAAATTTAAGTCACCCAAAGAAACTTCTGGTTGAACAAATATTATTATCTGTTCTGAACATAATCCCCCAGAAGGTATCTATGGAAGAAATCTGTGGGCCAGATGCTGTTTTCTGGGAATAAAGTATTAGTAGACATTTATTTTCAGAAGAGAATGTAAGGAAATACAGAATGACCCTGTTCCTTCAAATATATACATGATGATATGAGCTGAAATCTGAACTGAGGCCCAAGGAAATATGATTTTCAAATCACTGAACAACTGTAAAGCTCCGAAAGGTTCCTATAACAATGTTATTATCACTGGGCCAATGTAGAAAGGAAAAGGCCAGTCCTGGGAACAGCGACACTCCTGCAAATTTACCCACTCATTCATTTATTCATTTATTCCACATACATCAGTCAACTGCTTGCCTACGCCAGACACTGTAAAAAATGTCACAAAGATGAGTAGACAAAGAATTGAGCCACCAAGGATATCAGAATCTATAAGGTGGGAAAATATACAAGAAAATGTATATTCCAGAGACAGAACTGCTAAGACAGAGATACAGCCCAGATTCTATTAAGAAACATAAATAGTAAATAACTACCACGATAAAAACAGAAACTTGCAGGTGCACACATAATAAAATTTTAGCCAAACATTAGAGAAAAAGTAGGAGTTTGTCTGATGGAATGCATACAGATGTGGCAGGAGAATAGAAACATACCCTGATCTGAAGAATGTCTTAGATAAAGGATGCAGTCATCAAAAGGGATGATGAGTTTACAGGGTGAATCCAGGGCCTTGTACACACTAGTAAGCTACAGCACTGAGCTACAGCCTCAGCTCCTTTATAAAAAAATTTTTTTTCATTTTTTATTTTGAGATAGGGTATTGCTCAACCACTGGCACCAGGCTGGCTTCAAACTTGTGATCCTTCTGTCTCAGTCTCCTAGAGTGCTGGGATTATAGGATAGTACCACTGTACCCAGATGAAAGTTAAATATTTCAACTTAGTCTTTTTTAGGGGGGTACCGGGGGTCAAACTCTGGCCCTTGCACTTGTGAAGCAGGCAGCAGAACCACTGATGTAAATCCCCAGCCCTTAACTTCGTCTTAAGAAAGAAAAGAAAAGAACCAAAAGAGGTTTGCAGGAGTAGGGAGAGTCTTATGGTTATATTTTAGGGCAAGAAATCCAGAGGCCAAACTCCCAGGCTATTGTGATAACAACTGGAGTGGAGAAGGGAGGTAGGGAACAAGTCAGTATTCCTACTGACCATATTGGTTAAGCTTCCACCTTGGGAGGGAAGTTTTGCTGAGATGATTGACAAAACAAGTGAAACAGAGGCCCTCTACGCATTTGGTACATTAAGAAGTGAGTATGTTCTATCTGGAAAAGACAAAACAATTACTGTTTCTTATTTCTGGCACCACATTTCTATTTTTTAAGAATGATTACTCCAGTGAATGGTTTGGCAATTGAATCATGCTAGCAACATAGAAGGCGGAATCTGCGTCGCAGGCATTTCTACGTCCTCCTGGCACCACTGAGATGCTTTGTTTATAAATCAAGGGTCAGCCCTTTACATACGAAAGTTACTCACTTGAATTTGACATCAGTATATAAACACTTGAAATTCTGAGAACACTTACTCTGCAGTAATCCAAAGTAGCAACGAATTCATACGATCCTAGAGATAACTCGGGCTTCTCATAGTGGTCCAATCTTCTTCCAATGTGGTCCAGATGTTGGAAATAGAATGGTGGAACTAACAGAAACAAAACAGGAAAGGAGATCTTTTGTTTTCACAAACATAGACAATTTAATACATTCTCAAAATTTATTACGGGAGGAAGGGAGTAAGTATAAAATAAAAAGTATTTTGAAGCTGCACTATTTTAAAAGCATGTCTTGGAAAGTATGAGGGTTTTCTTAACAATCCTCTTGACCTCTCTATAAGTTATGTATGACAAAGAACAGCTATGATTTGGACCATCCTAAAGAAACAGAATAAACATTTTTTTTTCCACAACCGAAATATTTAAAATTGTCCCTCTTTAACCACCTTTAAAAAAAAGAATTCTGTTTTCCATATGAATTTTCAATATACCTAATAAAGATAAACACTGATTATTTGGAATATATTATAAACTACAATATTTATTACACTTTAAGAAGAAATGTCTTCAGCCATGGGGAGTTTGCGTGGTAATCTTTGAACATTTGGGCTGAAGAGTGTGGAGGATTACTGTATTAGGGAAAAAGTAGAGCACTAAGATCTCAGCTGAAGAGCTCTAATTTGATTCAAATGTCTCAGAAGGTTAGTTCTGGCAAAGACCTGGAAGTCACCCAACAACACAGCAATACTTATGAGTCACACACTGAACACTTGGACAAATAAGGCCTGGTATCTCTGAGAAAAAGTGCTCCTGTTGCCTGGAGATTAATTGGGCGGACTGTGAAACCTCTGCCAACAGAAGTATTTTAAAAAGCTGGCCATGCTCTTTAAGTATTTTGTAAAAATCATAATAGCAATTGTAATGTCTTTTAAACCAACAACTCAGTATTATTTTTTATTGTGAAACTAACATAAGAATTATAATAGGTCTGCTTTTCAAGGTTGGACTTTGTAAAAAATCAGAGAAGGTTGCTTTTTCTACATTCTTACTGTAATTTGGCCATTTCTTTTTAAAAAAGCTTTATAAGATTCATGTTTCCATATGAATCTCTGAATTTGGGAAGTTCAATGTCTTGGAAAGATTACAGAAGTGGAAACGGACAGTCTGTGCTGAGATGTGTAAGCCATGGGGCCCATAAACTATTTTGTCCTTTCAAAGGAGATGGGGGAGTCTGGGTTGGCTGTCTTAGGATGCATGGTACAACAAGTTCTACATAGCACAACCAATAATTCATTCACATTCACACATCTCCATCTAACCAGCAAACTTTGGCTTTTAAAATTTTATATTCATTAACATTTAATTTATTAACATGTAACATTATCTGTCATCTTTTATAAGCCAAAATTCAAGTCAAGACATAAACTAGGCACTGCCATATGACCCGAATTCCTGCCTGTTTCCTAATGTCAGGGTTCCCACTGGGCAATCTCCAGACACTGCATGTGCTCTTTACCAGGAAGTAGCTGATTTTTTCAAAGCCCAGAGCTGACACCTTGTATGAGGCAGGGTATGTGGGGGGGGGGGGGG